AGGACCCCTCAACCAAGATGTAGAGTTGCTGGTGAGAAAACAGATCAGCGGTTGTGTTTGATCTACCAAAAACGGAACCGGAAAATCTGACAACACATTTTAATCCTTTGTATCCATACTGGTCTCCATACAATTATTATACGAGGTTGACCAAGAAAATTGTGTCAAGATCATTTCGTTTCTCATGATCTTAGTGTATGATTCAGCAAGGATACTAGAAGGTGAAATAAGAAGCTGGTTCACTCCTAAGTGTTTAAGGGTTCAATGGCAGAGGGAAGGGGATATCCCTTAACTCTAAAAGGGGGACTGGACCGGGAGAAAAGAAGAAAGATTCTGGGACCAAAATTAATCTCGACGTCGTCAAATTATGAGTATATGAATTTTTTTGTCATTGATTTGTTTTACCACTGATCAATTTCGTGTTTTTCAGTATCTGGTTCAATCATGGAAGGAAGAATACCAAGTCAGGATTCGTTATCTCGTCCCTCGTTTAAAGGAGGCAAACGACGACGATACGAGAATTGAGCGGAGCCTTAAGCAGGACGAAGTCACTTTCCAATGGATAAGGCGATCTTTGGGCTGCTCCGAGACCTGTGGTGGAGGTTGGTAGGAAATTTTTTAACTGATTCATTACAATGGCTAGAAAAGGAACTAAGTTTATTATTATTTTTCTAAATTCGAAAGCCACTTTTTGATACTGCAGGAAAGTAATTTGTGATTTGTAATTTGTTCGTGATCTTTAACAGGTATAGAGGTACGCAGACCAACCTGTGCTCGCGCTGATGACGGATCCATTGTCAGTGACCACTACTGTAAGGAAGAAAAGCCTGATGAAGAGAATTCTGAGTGCAATATTCGAAAATGTCCAGCTAGGTAATAAAAACTTAACTACTATTGTTTTTCTCGTTTTCCTCGAGTCATGATACCTCATAATAGGCACGAAGAGCATTTCTCAGTAAAATATGTCTCTCCCTCAGATGGAAAACTGGAGAATGGTCCGACTGCTCCAAGACCTGCAACGATGGAAACCCTGGGGAGAGGACGCGGGAGATAATGTGTGTCGATGAATCTCATGAAATAGAGACGGAAGATTCAGAATCTTACTGCGTAGGACCAAAACCTGCCACACGAGAGCCATGCGCAATGCAACCCTGTCCTGCTGAGTGGGTCACACTTTCGTCAGGTCCGGTAAGTCATTAAGGGAGGGTGTGAGACTCAGTGATCCAGAAATAAACTCCGCCATTCCATTTTAGGTGGCATAATGCATTTTCACAGTGGAATAAGCTGCTTACAGAGATAGCCGAAGTAATATTAATCCCAGAAAGTGTGGGATGGTTAACTTGATCTTATAATTAGCTGATTAAAAAAAAAAACGAAAAGCACGGGAAATGAATTGAAGTTGTAGGGGTCGGTGTAGGAATGGTGTGGAAAGAAGAAAGACGGGAATTCCGGGGGAAATCTAGCGGATAGTGGCTAAGTTTCCTACACTACAGAAATGGGAAGAGCTGCAAAAAGGACTAAGTCGCAAGAAATTTCCTGCTGTCTCAGAGAATTGTGCAAGATGCGAAAATTACAGAAAATTGCTTAGGCTAGAAAACGCAAATCAGAATCAACTAAATTTCATTGATACAAGTGGTAAGTCGAATCTTTCTTGGAAATCTGACCAAATCACTTTAGTTTTGGTTTCATGACATAAAGCAGAAAAGCATTCCAAGGTCAATACTCATTACGAGCAAAATTTCTTGCTTTTGTTCCAGTGCTCTGCCGTTTGTGGTCAAGGTTTGAGAATGATTGAAGTAAGTTGCGTGAGGACAACCCCATCCAACAAGAAAGTCAAAGTGTCAGATGAAGAATGCACTGGCCAAAAGCCTCCCATTGCGGCCTCGTGTGATTCTGGGATTCCATGTTAATGATTCAGGAGTCTTAGACAGATTTGACGTTGACAGCAATTGAGCTTAAAAAGAACAAATTCTTAATCGTCAACACATGAAACCATTAGTTTACAAATATTATGTTTAGCGTTATAAGTGTTTCAGTATAACTTTCTTAACAAGAAAAAGCTTAATTACAAAAAAAGTAGCAACAAAGTATATAAAATTGTTCCTCAAGGAGCTATGAGACAAAAATATGGAGAACGCTACTTCAATGAATGATCATGAGTTATAAAAATAAGGTTGATCTTTCAACTATAGACAGCTTATTGTCCATCCCAACCACGAAGAGTTAAAACGAAGACACTTTCGCTAACAAAAAAGCCTGTGATCAGTTAAAGAAGATCACTATTCGATCCATGCTAGGAAACTGTGGCGCTACTTCAACCAACCAGGAAGTTAATGCAAATTGGCGCAACATAATGTATTATGGTTAACGTTGACTTAACATTCCGCGCGCTTTGGACCACTCTTCGATTAAATCTTTGAAAACCTATTTTTGTCATTGCTTTAATGTTATTCAAGAATAGATGTTGCAGTCAACATCAGTGCTGTGCCTACATCTGATCCTAGTGTAAGAGACGTGATGCATGATCGTCTGTCGTGATTCTGACACAAATCAAGTTACTCAGGCGAAAAACATTACGAGTCAGCTGGTGTTCCATTTTCAAAACCTCGCTAACGGCTAACACCTCTCTACAAATTTAAGCACCAAGACAACCTCTAGCTGCTTTCTCAGGCTTCTTAGAGTCGTGAGAATTTTGGGGAATCACAACGGAAAATCATGTGTGAGAATGATGTCTTAAAGAATCATGCATGTCACTTTGCATTGATACCCCTATGTATGCAATACGCAACTGGAAAATACGTTAATGATCGTGAGCTGATAAAAGATTTCTGTGAACCAGGCATCATCATCAGATGACCACCATGATGTTGAACGAAGTATTTTTTAACAAGGTTGCACGACAAAGTCGCAACAACTGTAGGTTAGGTGCCAATTTTCACTACAGCTGCATTTCCGGCACAAGTATCAGTCGAACAGGAACTATTTCCCACTGTCGAAGTGGCAGCCAATTATGACAGTGATATAGCATCCAGCAACTAAACCAAATTAAGACGAACGTGCAAAATAGTTTGGTTGAACAAGTGCCTTCACAAATATGCCAAGGAACACAAAGCATCACCTTCATACAGCAAAGTTTAAAGAAAAATGTAACGTAAACAAACCCGGCAGTATATCTGTATATAGCTTCACCAACGTCTAGAGACCTTTCAAAACAATACTTCACTATTTGTTCCCTATCATAGATAAAGATAATTAGCGCAGTTTTCAATTGAGAGTCGATAAACGAAAACCAGAGTAATCAAAGCGACCAATCATAACAAAGGTGCATATTGCCCTTAGCCAATAAGAACTCAAAGTGAAAAAAAGCAAACTGCTAGAGGCGCGGGAAAACGCGAGTGACCAAATTGCGCTTGTTTCAAGTTTTCATCTGATTTGTTGAGAGAAAAGTGTGAGTTTTCTGGACCAACCACAGAGTAAATTTAAGTAAAATCAAAGCAATCCTGGATGATTTTCGACACTGAATTAAAAACTGCTCTATCGACAAAGTACTTGCAGCGCAAGTACTTCAACACACATGAGTGATAAGATAACCGATGTTCAATAAGATAACTAGTTCGTGTAGTGTGATCGTCCGGGTGTGTGTAGTTCTGAAAAGAACTGTT